CAGATGGGCCCTGCCCCTGGAGACTGGGAGACTGTGCCTTTGGGGAGTTGTTTGTCATGCAGGATTGTCTGTGATTTGAAGTAGACTATAGAAAGTAAAGTTGCCACGATGGACAACAGGAAGATATAGAAATGAAAAGGCGACGGCAGTGACTACGGCGTGCGCAGATCTGAAAACGAGGGATCAATTGATGTTTCTGGGCAACTGGCCACCTACCCCTCCCCTCCAAGTCAACATTAACACTTACTTCCCATTTAGAGCAAAATTGTAACTAAGGGGAGGGGTAGATGGTCTTTTATCCAAAACCTTCAATTGACTCAAAACAAACTTAATCAAAGGCAGAGCAGGGAAACTAAGTTCCAGAAGTCGCCCTCAGTCCAATTTCATTTGCCATCGAGTTATCATCTCTAAATCCGCCCAATAATAATTATACAAATACCTTTTTTGTGACATAGTCTCCTTTTCCAGCCTATTTATCTCTATTGTCATTTCCTCCTACAAGGAAAAAAAAAAGAAGTCAAGCAATGCAAGAAATAATTCACTTCAGTGGGCATGAATAAAACAGAGAAATTTGGCTTTACTTCACTTACCTGTGTCTGGTTGTTCCTCTCATGTTCAGCTTCAAGTGTTTGACAATGAAGCTTTAATGAATCATACTCAGTCTGAAACATTAACGGATAATTTATGTCATAATTAACAAAGAACTGGAGACTTAATTAAAGTGCACAGGAGGTTTCTTTGGGTGTAAAGTGATGGGATGATCAAAAGGGGGCGTAAAACAAAACCCAAAAAAATCTGTAGGGTTTCAAACAAAACTCAAAAAAATCCCTGGACCAAAAATGAACCCCCAAATGGAGAGAGTTATAAACCACTGATTTTGTGGAAATAAGTTTCCGGAAAGTTGTTTAAAATCATTGGGCATCATTTCATAGCTTTTTCTGTAGCTGATGCAAACAAATCAGAATATCATATAGCAATTGTCATGCAGGTCAGATTATAGTTTGGGATATAGGATCTTTACTTAATACTAGCAGAAATTGTATTAACCTGTGATCAGGCTCAATTTTCATTTCGCTTTGTAAATAACAGTCCGGTGGGCAACGTGAAACAAAAACCGCCAAAATTGGGCCTGATCTGAGGTTAAAATTGTATGAATAATTATCACATGATGAAGGTGTCACATATAATACAGCAGCATACAATGTCTATGTTACAGGTCAAATCAGGTTAATTCTGATCATGATTTCACCCAGGTTGACTCTAAATTTCCTTTGCTTCCTAGTCCTGATTCATAAATAATCAGGGCTAGGAGACAATGGCAATTGAGAATCAACCTTGGTTAAATCAGAATGAACCTGAAATCAAACTTGACCTGTAACATTATTATACAAGCTGATCATTCCCATACCTCCAAGGATTTACATTTTGCAGTCATTTCTGCAAGCTGTCTTACTTGCAGTCTGGATACCTATGTAAAATATTCAGGTTAACGTCAATCTTAGTTGAGTTAAAGGTGGTCCCAAATATTCCGGTCGGACCGAACCGAAATGGTCCATTCCATTTTATTTCTAACCGAAATTTCCAGGATTTTGGGCTGTACGGAAAGCACCCCAGGTAACCTATGTTCCTTTTCCAAAACTTGACCCAAATGTCTCTCAGCAGTACCAAATGTCCATACATCTTAACATGGACCAACTGTTTCAAGTGTACCAAATGCCAAATCTCCCTACCATCCTAAAATTAATGTCCCAGCTCTCCCAAATGTCCCAGCTGTCTCAGGTTTCCCATGCCAGGTCTAAAGTACAGGTCACATTCCACAGGTCAAGAGTACAGGTCACTCCTCCATCCATAAATTACCAAACCACACGGATTCCCCTCGATCTAATAGAGCATTTTGTTAAGATATTAGGGTTAGGAGACACTTTTAATGCTGTTCATTTATCTGTACCATGGTAACCTGTACTCTGACTCGTGGAAAGGTGACCTGTATTTTAGACCCGCCACCATCCCTGAATTGTCCCAATTAAGTATTTTAAGTGTCTGAGCTGTACCAAGTGGCCCAGCTTACCGGGTGGTCTCAAGTGTCGGACCAGCTCTCACAAGTATGCCAAGGCGACAGCCTTCTGTTCACAAGAATCTTAAATGTCCCAATAATTATCTCAAGCATTCCAAGCACCACAGATGTCCCACCTTTTTTGAGAATCCCAGCTATTTCAATTTGTCAAATGTCCCAACTGTCCTGCTGCTATAACAAGCAAGAGTCCCAAATGTTCTTTTGAGTCTAAACAACTTCTACTGGGATAAAATCAAACTTGCTTAAAGAGTAGGTGCTATTTTAGAACACTTCTGGAGGAAAATGTGGGAATAATATATTGGGAAAGAACCTAGCTTCTACGTTACATGTAACATTATAAGTATTTATAAAGTAATAGTGGTTACACTCACATGATCAGACTGTAGCCCTGCCGTTTCACGTTGTGCTCTGATTTCGTCCAGTTCACTCAACAGGCCTTTGATTTTCATATGAAGCTGAGTCAACAAATAAATTTATTGAAATGCAGTTATTAAAGCAAGACTGGTGCTACTTAAAAGAGAATACAGTTTACATGTGCTTTTTAGGAAAACATATAGTTTCTGTAGAAATAGTTGAAAGATTGAGTTGTAAACAGTTACTTTTAAACAATGATACATAATAATTAATTTTAGTCTGCTTAACAAAGATAACTAACTTACCACAACATATCGTTGACTGACTCATTAGATTTTTTAAAAATATGTAGCTTAATTAAGGGTTATGGGCCATCAATGTCAACATCTGGACCATACACTGTAGGTGTACACAATGTATCTAGACATTGCATGCTCACACAAACTTTTTCAACAAAAAATACTGACTGTGGCAACTACATTTTGTTTCTTACAGTACAGTACTGTATTTTAAGTTACTGATAATAACAACCGACCATGGCCACAGTATAATAATTTATTATAATCATAATTAACACAATACTATAAACAAACCTGTGCATTCTCTCTTTGAAGGCCTCTTGTTCTTTGAGTATCTGAAGGACTATCATGTTGCATTCTTTGCACTAGGGAATCTCTTTCTTTCTTCATTGACATGACCTTTTAAGTATACAAAAAATTGCCTGACAACTGACAGAAAATTAAGTTTCTCGCTTCTAAGGAAACATCCATGCACAATTTACATGTAAAATGATTCTCAGCATCCTTCATAAATTATAGGTGTAAAATTTTTCAGGGGTCACAATACAGCTGCAATGAAATCCTTAAGTCATTTCCAGGGATGTCACTAAGAGCCGGCTGCAGGCTAATTTCACCAGCTGAAAAAAAGGTTACCACCAGCTCAAAATTCCAAACGAAAACTAAGACACAGAGTTGAGAGATGCAGTTGAGTAAAAAGACCGGCTTGACTAATGAAAAAAGGGAGTGCCCACATTTTTCCTATAAACACTTAAAAAACTGCTAACAGTTTCCTCTTCAAGTCAGCCAATATGCCACCAGCTGGCACATTGTAGAAAGGAATTTTTAGGCTGAGTGAGCATTATTTCTTACACTTGGAAAGGGTTTTTTTGGTGCACGAGTCTTGTATAATTTACTGTTAAGTTAGAAGTACCGCAGTTGTTTGACCCCACAAGGTTTCACGCCATTGCATGTACATGTATAAGTACATTTTTTTTGCACATAACTGCATAACATGTATTTAAAAAGACTGTACCTCCATATCATGGTGAACTCTCATCTCCTCTACTATCTGTTTATGTTGAGCCTATAAGGTTTATGTAAAGGAGAAAGCATCAAAACAAACTATAAATGAAGAATGGCTTAATAAATTAAATTTACAAGATCTCAACAAAATGTAATATACCAAGAGAATAGTGTTGGGAAGTGGCTGAGATTTCTTAATTGAGTGTAGAACTTGCAGGGTGCATGGTGAGTTTGATTCTTGCTTAGATCTCAGAATTTTTTCTGTGCTCTTGGTGATTAAATTCTCTTTCAAGAAGATTCTTTCTCAACAACCAAGTTTTTAGTATCTGATCTGTGTATTTGCCAACAACAAATTTTATAATTTTTCCTACAATAATTGACTGAATGTTTTCCATAAAATAATCGATCGTTGATCATTTTAAAGACTTAAATTGAAGATGGATTATAATCGATGGTGGACACATGCACCTCTACAAGGGAAATAAAGTAATAATTACCTCGTCATCATTATCATTATAATAAGAGATGATAAAACAAACCTGTTCATGTTCATATTCAGATTTCAGGAAAGAATAGTCATATCGCAGCTTGTTGAAGTCACTGTTGGCAAAGCATTGTAATTTTTTGATTAAATAATTAATGAACACAATCAATGGAGAATTATCAAGGGTTTACAATTTTTTTTTGTTTTTCTTAAAGTATTACTATGTACATGTCTAGCTCACCAAGTTACAGTTCTAACAGCTTACCCTCTGTACTTATCAACTTCATTCTCCATTGCTTCATATCTCTGGAAAAAATAGTCAGTTTGTTTAGAATTAGAATACAGTGTATATCGGTCCATGATATTGTCACCTCATCATCCAACAACAGACTCAAAGTAAATTGCAGTTGCAATTTTACTTCAAACATGATTTCATTATTTTCACATAATAATAGACTGACTAATATTTCTTTGTCACTGATTGAGCTCTCAATTAAATCAAAGAAAATGTTGGGAACTGGCTTAGAATTCATAATTTGATCATTAGAAATAATCAGATGACCCAACCAATCAGTTGATCACCTATCAAAAAAATTCTTGTTATAAAAAATTTTAATATTTTTCACCTGTGCGCAAGTCAAAGTAAAAACAATTAATTTCACATTTCTTGAGTTTTCTGGCACAGGACCACAGTCCTTTTATCAAAGAGAATCATTTTGTGAATGAAACAAAACCTTACAAACCAACAGAGAAAATTACAGCATGATCATATGTACCATGTTTTAGAACACAAAAATTTAAACATAAGAAATGTAATGCAGACAAGAGTCATCCCTGGATTATAGCTGCATTAACTGGTAATACACATTGTCAAGTTTTCAGCTATTTTTAGTCAACAAAATTCTTTTTTTCCCTGCGATAATGGATTGAGCATTTCAATTCCTAATTAGTTATTGAATCACATAAGTTTTTTAATCAAAGATTGAATAATTAAGATCAACAATTGACACACCACTATTATTAAAGGATCAAGTTTCCCTAACATTATATCTGGTTAAATTTCACTACAGAGAGCAGCATACCATGACCATGGATGCAATACCAACCTCTTTGTAGGGAGCTTCAACCTCCTTTTGCAGCTTTACTTTTAATAGTTCCATTCTTTGTGGAGTCACTACCTACAGTGTACATGTGAAAAGTTAAGTCATGGTCACAATTTGTAGAGCTCTGCACTCACAACCTTTTTTAACTTATTAAAATACATGTAAATCACCGGATGAAGTTATCATTTATTTTGTACACCGTCACCTGTGCTCTGATTTCTTCACATTCTTGTATTTTGGCATCTCTTTCAGCTCTCATTCTTTGCACCATTTCTTGACTTTGTTCTTTGATGTTCTTGATCTCAGTTCTAGCATCCTCAAGTTCTCTTTCTTTCCTTTCAATAAGCTAGGTGAAGAAATGCAATATATTAATCTATTTATGCAGTGTACACATACAATAACAGAAAATGACACACAGACAATGCAAAACTTAAAGATGGCTGACTGTACAATCATGCATGTTTCTCTTGGTTCATATCACTCACATCTTGCAGCTGAAGGTGTTGAGCTTTAAGAGATTCATAAGTGGTTCTTAGCTTTTCTATCCTTATCTTTTGCTCCGTGACCACTGACTCAAGATTACCCATCTTCTCCAACTCCTGAAGAATTTCGACCTGCTGCCCAGCCATGATACCGTCTTGAAAAAAAACAAAAACAACGATGCACATACAATTAGAAATATAAGATCACGTAGCTTTCAAATAATGATGGATAACTATGAAACAAACTGATTTACAGATTCTAACAGTGGTTGCTAATGAAATCTAACAATAACAAATTAATTTTATAACAAGCTCTTTCCATGAAAATGTGATTAAAAGTGTATAACAATAAATGATAACCAGTAAAATTAAGACAAAACCTACAATCAGTGCCAAAATAATTATTGTTAGGCTACTGTCCTCAAAATATGGGGTAACTTACGAGAACAAAACAACCCACACCCCTCCCCCTCCGCTCCATTCAAAGTTGGGGTGTTTGTTGATTTCTACTGGTAGGTTGAACAGCTGCACAACATTGCATGGAGGGGCTAGAGAAAGCTTTATTTTCCCTTTTTAATTTGGCAAAAAGTCAGAGAGGTCCTTTAGGGCAAAGCATCTCAACTACTTTTGTTGCCAATTCCCTTAGAAAAAATTCTACCCTGCAAAAACCATGTGAGAGCCCTGTAACATCCTGTTTCCAGCCCTGTTTGCGTTATTTCAGGGCTGTAAACTGGCTGTAACAGGGCTGTGACACAGCTGCAACTTACTTGACTTAAAACAAGTGGAGCAGTGACAGGGCTGTAAAAGTGTACATAGTTAAGTGTAACAAGCCTGTTACATGGCTGTGAAAATATCCAGTTACCATAACAGGGTTAAGACAGGGCTACCAAGTAATGCAGAAGAACTAGGACAGGGATGCAGAATTAACGGCTGTGTTAGGTACATTTGACAGTAACCGGGTTACTACAGAGCTGTGAGATGTCTATTTCTGTTCACACAATGGATATAATCAAAGGGCAGTAACAATGTAGCCAAGTACGGTAAACTCCATAAATCATGAAAGATGGCAATATTTTTCAAAGTCTGAAGTGTTAAAAGGAGCGAGGGTCAGCTAGATCATTAATACAAATAAAACGAAAAAGAACGTGGTGAAAATGGTAGCACTAAATCATCAAACACGATTATTGTACACTTTTTAGTATGCTGTTTCTGGTTTTGTTTGGATTTGCTTCGTTTTTTTCTTTTTCTTTTTTTTTTTTCATAGATACTTACATCAATTAATTACCGATGTTGTGGCTACCTTTGTAGTTTGAAGTTGCTTTCTTTTTAGACTCTTATCTCATGTTAAAAACGAAGACCTTCTTATGATTTCATCAGCTCCTGTTCTTCATGTTCTTTTAAATAATAAAAAAAACCGCTGTAACTTAATTTTTTACAGCAATGTACTAAAAATGAAAGACTTTGAGATCACTTCAATTTGTTTTCCTACCCGAGAAACCTCTGCAAGCATGGAATTAAATATTTTCATTCCGTGACAGACACACGCCATCGGTAATTCCCTGGAGAAATCCAAGACCTTAATCTTATTGGTCAGCACTTTACCGGAAGATCGCATTACACATCTCCATTCCTGAAACGACTCACGATTATTTGAATGAAAGGGGAAAATATTCAAACGCTTTCTGCATCCAGTTTGGATTGAAAAAGGCTGTAGAGCATTTTTTGCTGCTTTTGAAGCAGAGAGTGAAAAAGTATTAGCAAAAAAATAACTGTGCTTTGACCAGCTCTCAACGAATGGGAAACAGATCGATCTAGTGGACAGAAAACATTCCACGGCACTTGCAAGATTCAAAGATTGTTTGCCCTGCCTAGTAATAATGCAAGTTCATTTCGTACACCATTGAACAATTCAGCAACAACTGATACACAAATGGATTGGCTCTTTTCATGAGGAAATGTAACACTTCGTGGATCATGAAGGAAAGACGATCGAGGTGAGCGATTTCAAATTAAGCTTGTTGCAACCCAAACAAAAGAATTATTATAAGTGTCAACCTCGGAACCGTTGTTACAATGGAACAGTTCCGCGTTTCATCTCTAAATAATTGCTGATAAAAATCGTTTTTTTGTTTTTTGAGACAGTTATTGTAAAGTCGGCATTTTGATGTGCTAGTTGTAAATTAAATCGAGCAACTATGACCAAGTATTTACAAGCCAGATCAGACTGTTGTATGCAGTTCAAATTTTGTTCTGTTTATATTTTTACACACTGGAACATGGGCACGTGAAAAATAAAGTAACGTTAAGTTCTTTATTGACTGTATTTAGTGTTTTCCTTTATTGAAAGTGTTCTTTCAATGCATGTTTGTTGAAATGCATTGCTTTTGTTTTAAGTACTTTGTGACTAAACGGACTAAAACAGCCGTTGGTGGTTCAACTTTGAAGCTTTTTGTGGCGCAAATCGTTCCTTTGCTTTCAAGTTTCATCTTTAATAGATATGAAGTTATAAAAAATTATGTTCTGATAGTACTATAATCCTAATGTATAGAAGTTAAACGGCTGCTGTCTAAAGTGTAGATTGTGTGAGAGGGAGTATCACAACATTGGCACCTGGTAAAAAAAAACAGCCTTGTTAACTGCCAATTAACAAGTTGTAACAGGGTTGTGATGCATGAAACCTGTACCAAGGCTGTTAAAGGAATGCCACAGTGTAAAAACAGCCTTGCTAACTGTGCCAATTCACGAGCTGTGGCAGGGATGTCCATCACAGGGTGGAAACAGGGTTGTAACATGGCTGTTACAGGGTGTCTACCAAGAAATTTTGAGTTAAACGTGACAGGGCTGTTCCAAGGCTGCTACAGTGTAGAAACAGCCTTGCTAACTGTGCCAAATGACGAGCTGTAACAGGGTTGTCACAGGTTAGTTTTACAACCCTGTTCCAGTGATGCTACAGAGCTGTTACCGGGTAGAAATTTTGTTAAGGGTTGTAGCAAAAAAATACATAAACATTTTGAATCATCTTCCTTGGACATCCACAAGTACATGTCAATTGTCGAGAATCAAAAATGCTTGATACTTTACTAACAGGTTCATGAGAGAAGCACTTTACATTCTGTAGTGAGAGACATTCATGCTTTCTGATCTGGAGTAGTAAGTTGTTCTTTGTTATAGATGTACAGTGTACATGACATGTCGCTCGCACTGGTTCTAAGATGCTTCATTCCTGAAAAATTATTGTCGATTTTCAGCCCGTTGTATATAGTTTACGAGAGGAAAATGGTTTATTAGAACAAAGATTTTGCTTTGGATACATGTCAAGAACTTAACAAAAATGTGATACAGATGCATGTATTTAATATTTTGTTCTTCAGTTGTTCAATCTCACTTAGAAAAAGATAATAAATGTGGCAGGGTGTTCTCTATAAAACGAATTTGCATCAAGTCAGTACTTCTTTCGACTGATCATCAGCTACCACACTGAGTATCTAATGATCTTTTTAATTGAGAAGCTTAAATTTCGCCAATTCATGGTTATCGCTTCACAACATGTAGCTTCTAGCAAGTGTTATTTTTCCGTTGTGATTGTTGGATCTGTTAAAAGCCTGGCAACAGAAAACAATAGTAAAGTGACGGGGTTGTTTGACTTTGACACTCAAGGCGAAGAAGTCTAAGTTTATTTAACAGTACAAGAAGGTAAACAATGCAACGATAAGAAGGAAGCGTGAGCGAAACTAGGTTCAGATTAAATTACTGCAATTTGACTCACCTCTGTTTGCGAAGACCCAACTCTTTTTCTCTTTTAACCGTCAACTAATGCAAGGCCTAAGTTTCAATCTTAAAAATAATCGAGCCTATAAATTTATACATGAGGACAACAAAGATGGCGTCCGTCGCAACCGTCCGCCATTTTTGTTGAAACAATCAACACTCTCAGAGGGACTGGAACGAGGCTAACGTTTCAATGCTTCTAACCGACTTCATGTACTGGTCACAATCTGTCCTCTGTATCAAATTGTTAGTTTTTCGCCAAGATGGAAGGAGACTCGATTCGCAGGGTAAATATATAGAGCTGTTGGAGGTCTTCATTCAACAATTTTTATGCAGCTCTTTGCCGTTTCATAACCGTTGTGGACGTTAGACTGCGACCTGAATTTGGAGAAACTTTTAATTTCGCGATTTGAGGGAACTTGATAAATGAACGAGGACGCTAGTTAGAAGTCAATGAAGTGTTTTTTTGTTTGTTTTTGTTTGTGTTCAACAGTGCTATGATACGTGGAACATTTCAGATAGAAATCGCTCGAAAAGGACAAAAGAAGCGAAAAGGCTCCGATATTTCTTCCCTAGTGCTCCTCGACTGTTTTCTACATGATGAAACGGTGACGAATGTTCAACCTGAAAAACTCACGTAAGTGCATCACGCAAAATACCCTTCGTGAGCATTGGAAATCAAGATTTATTAAGAGTACTTGAGAGTACAGCTTTAAAAATACTCAAGGACAAAGACAAAGCCACAGGCGATTGAGCTATGGAGGTAAATTAAGCGCAACATTTGATGACAAAACAAACACGCACAAATGGCAAAAATTAGGTCGCTTGCAATTTTGAGTGCCAGTGGCCAGTGGATTGCTCCTACGATATTTTAAATTGTGAAGCGTAATTTCAGTTAAGCTTAGGCTTATAAAGCCATTTGTTAATGTTGTAGGAAAAAGATGCAGGGTCGAATATACACCAACTAGGCCACCTGTTACTTACAGAAGCGAAAGATATGACAAACCAAATGAGCTTAAGTTGCTCTAAGTGAATCAGATTTTTGAGTGCTTATTAAGTTTCACTTCTTTCGTATTGTTAACACCCCACATATGCAATTGCTTAAATATTATTTGAAAACTAGTCACAGCAGCAGACTGAAATAGATAAAGAAATAAGGTTTTCCTTCATATCACTATTGACTTGAATGATACATTTTCATTCTCAGTGTGTTATAAAAACCAAGTTTTGTTTGAGCTGATCAACTATATGAAATCAACAGCAACAAGTCTTTTTGCCAACAAATGAAAGCATTACCAACTGAAAACCTGGGACCGGGTTGATCTCAATCATATTGAAATCAATATTGTATCTCTCGTCTTGTGCCCACCTTGACCATACTTGGCAAACAGTAGTAAGCTTTACCACAAGCATTGTAAAATAATGTGATACCTAGAGGTCCTATTTTCTATGCTTTTATTTTTTTTAAATTACCAATGAGGACCAAGACATTTATAAGGGATGTGTGGTTCCAGGAATTTTCCATACCAATCAAGAAAGGTCATTAGAAATTCTGAGGGAAAGGGGGCTCTAAATCGCCAAACTTTTTTAGGAAAGTCCAGAGGGGTAGGGGGTTCAAACAGGAGCTGAGAGTATGGTTGTTTCTGGGAGAAATTGATATTAAAATGGTGCAGAACAAAGTAATTGTTTTGTTTGGTTGTAGAGCCGTGAAAAAGAAATATCTCCATGCCTGTATGTGTCATCAAAGAAGGGTGAAAATTGCAGTGCAATTGTAAGAGAAAAGTTGGAGTCATTACAATTTGAAGTGCACAATGAATCAAGCACTGCAGCAGCTACAAAGCTTTGTTCTACAACCAGAATGTCTTTAATTGTATTAGAAGATTGTGAAGAAAAAGCCTTCGTACAGACCATCAAGTAGGTTACAAGTTCACTTGTACTTATACAATTAAATGCAAAGACAGGTCAGCCGAATGTATGGGGCAGGGCATTGCTTATACATTTCGTTGCTTTTGTACACCAAGAGATACACTGTATAAGCTCTACTATTGACAACTCAAATGGTTTTCATTATTGCTTGATTTGTATCTGTAAGAATGCCATCCATCTGTATGATCTGTGAACATGCAATAATGTATTTAAAGTAGCATTATGACTTAGCAGGCAGAAATTGTGAATCGTTACTGAATAGTACAAGTTTGAAAAAATTTTCTTTACAGAGATCATAAGGAGGCAAGTCATTTTTAGGAATTCATGTTTTGTTGTTAACATCTCCTTGACCTTCCAGAGCTCCAAGTGCTTGCAACAAACATACTCCTGTTGTGTACATCTCTTCAGGACCCCTGTCAGGTATCACGCATATGCCACATGAATTCAGTTTTATCACACACATTGTAAGTTGCTGAGTATATTAGCCTCTGTAGAGTCAGAGCGATACAAAAGTCTATTGCAAGCCTGAAAAAGCACTTAAATGTCTAAAAGTCAGCTTTTTATTAACTCCTTCGATATAACACTTAATTATTTCTGCTTTTCATTCCCTTACCGATGAAGAGTGATAAAGCACCTCAGTTTGCTTAGAAATCAACCCATTTATTCCTTTTTTCAGCATTTGACAATCAAGAAATTTTTAGTAAGTCCTTTAGCTGCTTAGAAAGAGCAGTTTTCTTGGCTTGGCCATCATCTAGTTGCTGAAAGTGTGAAAAATGCGTACTATAATGGAGCAAACATTAACAGTACCTAAGGTATTTGGCTATATATTTCCCCTTACAAACAACAAAATTGGTTACTTTAAAAGGATGTATTCCTCTTTTCCAGAAGATCTCTTACCAAACATTGAGTATATTGACTGTTTCATATATGAATTGATACTGGTTTAGGTGTTGTGAGAGACTTGATGCAAGAGCAGTTCATTGATGAGCTGGTATTCAAGTGCTTGACACTGGAAGATGATCTGGGGAGGGCTGTTGCTCGTCTGAAAACACAGCCTGGGCAGTTTGCTAGTAAGTGCTCTATTTAGACACTAGCTGTTATTAAAATAGACAGCAGACTCCAGCTAATCAAACAGTGGAAAATGCTATCCATGAAGTATTTGGAGTGGTTTCCCCTATAGCTATCCACTGAATAGTTATTTGTCTGTTAGAGAGAAGGCCTTCAAAGGGGGGGGGGGGGAGGGGGTATGCTGTCGCTTTGTTATCCATTTCTAAGACTGCCTGTGACCAGGTAGGTTAGTGGCGCATTTTAGCTAGGAACAAAATGTCGCCCTTGGTTCAGCATATATTTCTGTGATACTTGATTCTTTTTTAATTTACAGCAGATATATTACCTGGAAAGAATTAATAGTTATTTAATTAAACTTTCTCTCTTGAGGGGACCATTTTTGAACAATACCATGATTAGAAAACTTTCCAAAGAAAATTAAAAAAAGTTTGAAATAACAGAAGAGATCAGAGTTTGTCATTTTGCTACTGAGACAGCCAAAATGCAAAAGTGAACGGATGAGGCTTTCACTACTTCAAAATGGATTGTCACTGTCACAATTATTTCCTCCTTTTGCAATTGATTGTTGGTGCTTTCTAAGAAGGTTGTCACCTATTTCCAAGGCCATGTTGCCTGTCACTTCCACTCCATAGAAGCCCTCAGTTAGGGTCGTTAGGGCTATCCATCCCTCAAACAGCTGGGGCCAGAAATAAGGCTGTGGTCTAAAAAAAGACAATTTAAAAAAACAATTAGCTGAATAAGGCCAGGGTGCCATCACTACTTAACAGTGCCTTTTCAACTGAAAAGATCATGTTGGACTTCTTTAAAAAATTCGATCATAACTTGTCTGCAGTTACACCCAAGTCAAAAAGGTCTGTCCGCCCAAGAAAACGAACACCTGATCATGGAGCAGGCTTTTCATCCCCAAATTGCATGTTTTCAGGTAGGTACCAGTGTTCATTTAAGAGAAAACGTTTGATTAAAGCTTATATAACAAGGTACTGAACATTTTATGTCAACTGGACGTTATAACAAAATATAACTCAACTCATCATTGCACTGTTGATCCAAGGAGTTATCTATGTAACAGTAATAAGTGAAAAATTGTAATAAGTTAGACTCCTTTACTTTGATAGGTGCAGCAACTTCATCTGTTGTGTCACCAACACCACATGGGTTGGATTATGCACAAATAAATTCTCTCATAGCGACAACCCTATTTAAGCAGCAACAAGACTCTGCTCAGCATGAAAGTGATCCTCATCTCTTCTTAGAAGGTGCACTTTGCAGCAATGTTCCTCAGCCATGCCCTGGACTAAGCTTTCATACTCATGAAGAAAGCAACAAGATGATTAAACCAGACGGTTATGCTAAAGGAATGCACCCCTCAGGCATTATAGCAGAAAATCATTCTCTGCCGAACATACATCAGTGGTTTCCCTCCGTTACTATTGCTGCTAATGGCAGACGAGAAGTGAAAACACACAGCAATGTCAAAAGGGAAGAGAAATGTTTGGCTGGAGGCAAAGAGGAAGAAAATAACAAGACCCCCGTAAAAGCCAGTGATCAGCACTTTTCCTCACCCAGGTAACAAATATGGTTGCTAGATGGGTGGCTAGTTATTTGGGTGGGTGGGGAGGGAGAGTTGGAGGGTGGGTGGGTAGCTGGTTAAGGGGTGGATGGATGGCGGAGGGACCCTTCTTAATTGTAATTGTGAAGTCTGTCAAGCATTAGAAATGAAATGATTTTGTAACTAAGGATAAAAATATTCGAGAAATTTCACTCATTGTTGATACGATAATTATTGTGCGTGCTTGCATCTGCAAGGGAGTTCTCGCTTTTAATGCTAGTTTACTAGTGGCAAAAGTACTCAAATCGCATTGTGTAAATCGGCGTCGATTTCCAATTGATTCTTCTTTCAATTTCATGGATTCAAGTTTGGAAAGAAAAAGGAACACCCCGAAACAGACAAAACAGCGAAAGAGGTCAAGGTCATCTGCTGCAGGCGGGACAGCTGCTGAGAGGAAAGAACTGCACTTAGACAAGGAAAAGAAACGAAGGTATTGCCGATAGAATTGAGTTCAGTAAAAACCCGCAACTAAGAACCTGGTTTTAACAACTTGTTAGACTAAAATGTGCCATTTAGGCCCCCTCTCTATAAGAACCTGCATAGCCTAAACTTTGAAACAGAAAAACAATTCTGTACACTTGGGCAACATTCAGAATCCTCTTTGGAGACATAGGTGCCTCATCACTCCAACTCACTGCAATGTAATGGTATGCAGATTTTATGTAAGTAAAAAGCTGAGTATACCACTAAATACTCTTAGCTTCATTGTTTATTTTTTCTTCAGAAAATAAGAACCAATTTAAGATCCTACATAGCCTAATATTGTGCTAATTGCCATTTATGTAAGAACCTGTTTAGGCTAACTAGAGAAAAAGGAGGTTCTTAGTCGCGGGTTTTTACTGTATTTTATAACGATACTGTATTTTTGAACGGAGCATGCTAATGAGGTTCATCTGAAAAAGGGATAAGTCCGTGCGCACTATACTACTAACGTCGTGTCTATTTCCGATCTAATCAGTTATAAGCTTAGGGAAGGTGCCCCGTTTATTTAGAGACAGTTAAAAATTGGAGGGCAAAATGGAGAATGTTAAGCTTTTTTCAGTGTATCACATGTAATACTACCAATTTCTATTAGTTTTTGCGATAACGGTATAAAACCAAAAAATAGTAGTAAACTCGTTATAGTTTGCAATAGCCCTGATATTTGAATTTCAGTTAGTTCTACCACTTCTCCCCGGATAAAATTAAGGGTGCGTTCCTTTGAGATGATCCGGATCAGGATCAATGATCCGAGATCACTCGGATCATGGTAGATCAAATGAAGCGGTGAATCCACTCTGGACAAGGATTCATCGATTCATTTGTTCTACCATGATCCGAGTGATCTCGGATTACTAATCCTGATCCGGATCATCCCAAAGCGGAACGCACCCTTTAAGTTCGTATTCAACCGCGACATCATTACAGTGCATAAGGGAGGTAACCTCTGCTTACAGGGTAGAGGTGAGGGGCATCGCGGCCAAGTATTTGAGGGATTAAAGAGACGAATGCGTGAATAGCGCAGCATTTCACGGAAGTATGGAGTTAAGTATTAGAGACATTTAGAGTCACGTTTACGACAAACGTGACATTCAAGTTAGGAAAAGAGCAGCTAATGACAGGTCGATACAATTCTCATGGATAGAACCGATTTTCGTGTAGTTACGATGACAGTAAACCACAAGCCAAAGGGAGTACTTGGCCACGTTGTAAAAACTCGTGTTTGCCGTAAGCGCGACTCTAAATCTCTTTATTGTTACAGGGTAGCTATGCCATGAAAACAAATGCGAATACGATAACTACACGTTTTTTGTCGCCCATTGTGGCCAGAATTGGCCACCTGCAATCTGTAACCAAAAAGGAAGACAAAGTATGAATTGAGGCTGTATGCAAAGACCATGTCGTATCTCTTTCTCCAGAGAACGAATCACACAATCATGGCACTGGTTACGTCAGCTTGTACCTAACTGTGACGCGTATGCAGACAAGGCTACAGTATTTGAGATGAGCGTTGCATATTTACACCACTGCTGGAAATACCATGCACCCATTATACAGCAAGTAAATAAGGTGTGTTATTTCACACCTACATATACAATGGTATAGTGAAGGGCCGTCTTAAGCGTTACGTGAATAAATGATAATGATGGTAATGATGCAAGTGACGGAAGCCAGATTTGTAGTTTAAAACAAATGATTGGGGCCATTTATACAAGGAAAAATAAGACGCGTTTTAAATAAGATGTAAACTGTCCCGTTTTTGAAGCTACGTGTTACGTTTTTCTAGGGCCCGAAGGCAAACTTTACAACCCAAACCTGTTGAATTGTAACACAGTTCGTAGATCACAAACCAGCCAATTTTGCCTCTTTAACTGATAGTTTCATTGTAATCATTTTCATAATAATTGACACAAAACAAAAAGGTGCCGGGACGTCCAGGTAGTCGTTACACAGTTTCATATCGAGTACTCAAAGTGTGAACACAAGACAATTTTGTGCCAGTATACCTAGGCTCTGGTTCTCGTTTCCTTTAAAGATTGGGGAGAGTCAGACTCGTGCTGATGGAATCTGACATAGAGATCAAACCTGCAGGGGTCAATTCAGTGTTATTTGTGTAGCCCTTACCTAGTGATTCTGTGCAATGTTCCTTTTTCTAATAGGAATTTCTGTTCCTGAATACCAGCAACATATCCTCAGAAGATATGGAGAGAAATATTACGGAAATTCTGGAAAAGGAAGGAAGAGCTTTCGGAACAAGTGTGGAGTCCGGATCGTGTAAAGAATCGTAAAACACAGATTCAATTCCAGCATCCCGCTTCAATGCTTTGTTTCAGGATCCCTTGCATCTTACAACTTTCTCTCATCATTAAAACATAGTATTTATTGAGATGCCTGCAAGGGAAATGTTTTATGCCGTCTTTTTGTACTCTTTGAAAATTATTTTTTGTTAATAAAGCGTTCTTGTAAAATTTGTTTACATTTTTTCTCACAAAACAGATGTGCCAAAACTGCTGACAAAAACTGACGAAGTTCCTTACTTTCACAATGCGTGAAGCTAAACGTATAGAAGTTCCTGTCCTGATCACAACGTTGCCAGGGTTCGTGATCTTTTAATCTCTTCCAACTTCATGACTTTTTCCATGACCTTTTCCAGTTATCAATGACTTTAGATATAGCTGTCACTTTCGAAAACTTGCAAAACTATCCTTTTTTAGGGTATTTTTTGACCCGATTCACAGTGGAACAGATTACTCTTTGGTGTCCACCAAAATGTGTGCCATTTTGCTGTTTAATTACCTGTCTCTATCTTACTTTTTCCTTGTTTTGACGTCTGCGGTAACTAATCTAACAAACACAACTTCAATTTTGCATGACTTTCCATGACCAACAAGTAAATTCCATGACTTTAAAGGCCTAGAAAATGAAATTCTTAAAAAATGGTTCTCCATGACCTCTACGAACCCTGTGTTGATCTCCTAGACTATGTCTTTTACACAGGTGAATTTGGCGTTGAGTGAAACCCGCCCAGAAAATCAACTACAGGCGCAAAAGACAAGCGGTCCTTCCGTCTCTCTCGTCCTATCTTACGATCAGCGGTTCTTATTAAGACGTATGGAGACGCTTTGTAGGGAGAGCAGGGCTACTTATCACCAAGATGATAAAACCGAAATTCCGGTTGGACAATCAATTGATTCGCGCCATTTCGTTCGGGAAGCCTAAAAAACATACAAGGACGCTCTTTGATAAACGTGTTTAGTCTCTCTCTTGGAAATTAAATAAGAAATGAGGAGGCGATTAATTCTAAAACGAAACAAGTTTTTCCTTCCTACTTTATCAAAGGTCGAGTGTTCTTCAGGATATTTACTTTTTATATCATATTCGACGATTTATTCAGTACGCCGCAAGATAAATTATATTATTGCCAGAGACCAAAAACGTGATGAACATAGCGCGTCATTTAAATCATCCCCGAAAATAAGCCACACGCTCATCACAAGACTCATTTGCATACAGTGAAAGTTAACAACGCTCGACCAGTAAGCTGCACTATCGACGTTTTGCTCATTAAGATTCTTTTTTTCTACCACTAAAGTGTTCACTTGTTCCAAAGTAATCAACGCTTTTAAGCGATAGAATTCGTGGGCCGACCCGTTCCGGAAAAGCTCTAAGTCTTTCGCATTAGTCTTTCCTAAGCTTTCTTCGCAAAAACATACGTGGCTCCGTTCACGCATCGATTGTTATCCCCAGTTTCCACGGTCTCCGCTAGGAACGCCTGGGACCATGACTCCCTTTTGCGGACTAAATACGAAGAAAAGAAAACGGCTTGCAGATTATGAGTCTCGCTGCTACGCAAGGGAGACTAATAAACTGTCGTTTGAGGTGACGCAATTAAAAAAGGCTAGAGAAATCAATCCTATCTGGACAAGGATTATCGGGACCTTTGATGCACCATGATCCGCGTGATCTGGGATCATAAATCCGCATCCGGATCATCCCAACGGAACACACCCTCTCTTCTTTAAGTTTATTAGCTATGTCAAGATCGCTCGTACGAGCTCTTTGCTATTTGGCAAGAACATTCGTTTAAATGAATGTGTTGATATTCAAGCATCCTTTTGTATCCAATGAAATGTCCGATAAAAAAAACAAACAAACAAAAAACAAGTAGACTGGGACGACATGCCTGGGCACATTAACGCTGACTCCTTTACGAGAATTACATCTGTAGACTGTTTGTTTCAGATTGCTGAACTTTGTAATCAATTTTCACAAGTCCAAAACTATGACAAAGACAAGAATAAATATAAATTTATTAATCCTCTAACTTCTAAATATATAAATAAATATTGAATAAACCTAGAAGGTGTGGAGGAAAGACGGTAAAGTACATTTACACAGAGTATAAAGGCCTATTATCGTACAAAAGGATACCTAAATTAAAATATCAACACCGGTATTACTTTCTGAGACTTAAATAAACACAAAAATAAGTAAAACCAATGACCCGCACTCGAACAAATGGAAATAGTTTTTCAAACAGTGTAGTCACGGGAACTGAGGGGAAATCTGCCACGCTGAAATCCCTGTCTAGTTCCGTCTATCGAGTTGATACCAAGACCCATCAGCAGTCTGATATCAGATGGCTGTTCATCCAAGTAAGGCTTAACTGTTACATCATATGTAAAACTCTTCCATCTGAAAAAAAAGGGAAATTGTACTTTATCTAATCATGCCTATGCACGCACATACGCACCCCTTTATTTTGTTAGTACGAAAAGATGTAAGAAGCACAGACGTATTTCCGGTCGTCGCTTCTCTCCCTATTTTTCGGAGGGAGAGAAGCGACGACCGGAAATACGCCTGCGCTTCGCAGGCTACAAAAGATGACGTAAAACTGTGAAGGTTTGAACCCAGGAGCCATTTCATACGGAAATTGGGAATGATCGTCCGGGTAAACGTAGTACTGAATCGGACTATTGTTGACACTGGACTCAGGCTGAACTAACTACGGTGGAATGACTCGACAACCGACAATTTGACTAAAAACTGTACAATGGACGGATCGTAACAAACCAATGACATTTCGAAGCCAGTAACATCACGGCTCAACCGACAAACGACCAATTAAATTTGATTTAAATCTTCTATTGGTATGTATCTATTAGACTGTAATATCAACCATGTACATCGTCAAAAGCATGACAAAGATTATTCTATTCTATTTGAAGAGATCTAATTGGACACTTTGAGGTTGTACAAGAGACTGGGATGGTGTTTTGATGAACTAAGGCTGCACTGATGTGAAGTATATGAAATAATTCATTTTCACATGATTCAAGGCTGCACTGTGGGACTGTTTGGGGGAACGAATGTTGACCCAGTTTCCTGATCAAACTTGTAATAGCCAATAACATGAGCGATAGCGTCTCCAAAAACGTCCCTTGGTGCAATTCGAGTTCAAGATCAGCCTACGAGGAGGAGAGGCTAAAGTTGGTTTTCTGCATCTTTTGCAGCTCACACGCGCGTAGTCTTCAACTCTCGCAATTTCATTCCTAATTACAATTACATGTAAAAAACTATATGCTAATATAATTTACCGCCGCCTGGGTAGCTCAGTTGGGAGAGCGCCGGTCTGCCGAGCGGGAGGTCGCGGATTCAAACCCCGGCCGGACAAACACTCAGGGTCTTTAAATAACTGAGAAGGAAGTGCTGCCTTTGCCATCTGCAAATAGTTCGACTTTCTAGTCTTCTCGGATAAGAACGAAAAACCGTAGGTCCCGTCTCACAGCACTTTCACTTATCTGGTTCTTGTGGGACGTAAAAGACCCCACACCACTGTTCGAAAAGAGTAGGGGTTGTAGACCCCGGTGGTGTGGCCAACCTTTACGGGTTGTGGGATTGGGTAGGGATGGCACCTCGCATGGGACCTGAGTCCCGTTCGTGCACATTTCCTCTGGGCAAAGCAGGCCTATGTCCAGAAAAGCTGGTAAATAAATAAATAAATACTTACCGAATGATCATTATCCGAAAGCCTCATCTTGGGAGGAGAACTGCGTCGTATCTTTGCAGGGGTGGAAAATACCTCATCACAAGAGAAGTCCAAAGCTGCACTCATGAAACCCGATGGGGTGTTAAAAACACTGTTTCTTGGAGTAAGAACTGAGGACACCCTAGGATCCTTTCTAGTTGAAAGCAAATCTTCCGGACTGGACGGCGATGTTTTTCCTCGTTTATGGTTGCTTTGTGGAGTATTTTGCGAACACATTACACCTGAAGGTGTTTTTATTGCTGTTCTGGAGAGAAAAGGAGTGGCTTTGTACTGGGGTGCGCGACCAAACAAGGAATCTGGGGTGTCAACAACATCAAATGTAACTCTTTTGATCATCGTTGGCGTACTTGTTGCTGTGTATCTCTCTGTGATAGGTGACTGTGAGGCATTTTTTAAAGCGCTTGGTTTTCCCGTTGATTTCACTGGCGTGGAAACGTCCATTTGGTTTACAGGGTTTATCTGAGACACGAACGACAAAGCGTTACATTTTTTTTTACTTTTAATTCATCGTCATGATTTTTTTAAATTTTCTTTCAACATTCACACTGTCCCATCCACCATTTTTTCCCAATCCCATCTGCGATAAATTTAATTCTGGACCCGAATTCCCGTGGTTTCTGTTCTTTTTACTCCTTCAACTAACCCGGAAATCTTCGTGGGGAAAAGCCGGAATCCTGGCTGGCCCTCGTGGTCCATGGAGCAATTTTTCCAACCTTTTCTCGGAAAGTACTGTATGTAACTTTTCTGTTCTAAGAATGATGTTTTCTCAGTCAGCAACACAGGCGACTCGGACAAAGAATGACCTTTCGGCTACACTCTTTTTATATATAAGAATGCTGTTTTTCCGCACCGGCTGAATATTCTTATTTTTCTATCGACTTAAGGCTGAAAATGTTCTTAAATTATTCTTAATTATACATTATAGCTTAGGGTATTTCCGCTTTCGAATGTATTGGGGTTTCAATCACCAGTGTTCTTGCCGTATTGTAAAAGGAATAATTTTCTACGGTTAAGCTAAAAACATAAATGGTGCTGTATTTACAAAACTTTTTTCAAATTCTCAGTCTCGCGTTTCTTCTTAAAATATTCTTAAATTTTGCAACTTTCAGCCTCAATATTCTTATAGGAGAAAAGAGTGTACTAATCCAGATACTCTACCTATAAATACCGTTTCTTAGAAGGCCGAGCTGCCGCTCTCTCGCACTCTTTGGCCCCAGAAAACACGCCTCGCACTCGGGACAAATTTTGGGCTCCACTTGTGGGCAAGTCTACCTGACACATATGAACTACAAAAAAACATGCAAAAGCTATAAAAAAGATCAAACCTTGGAACGAGGAACAAAAGGAGGTGTACCGGGATGCACTTTCTGAAACTGCAAAGAAATTTTAAGAAATTATGTGAACATCTAAAACCATTAAAAACTGCAGAATTGTTAAGTGACTTAATGAAAGTGAAGAATTACAGGCTAATAGAAGACAGTGATAGGCTGATTTAGCAACAGAACGGGAACGTCAGTAGACGACGGCGCGCGTAAATTAAACAACTGGCTTGACCAATGGCAGAGCGGCAAGTTGGGCTCCGGAAGTCGTGTTTAGTCCTTTCCGTGCGCTTTCCGGTCGTCAACTGACGTTCCCGTCCTGTTGCTAAATCAGCCTAATATTAAAAAGGGGGGCAGGAGAAAGCAAATAGGGAGTTTAAGCAAGGACGACGGAGACGGCAACGAGGAAGGCAAACAAGTAATAGACTTACATAAGCAAAACAACGATTCTGCACATGCATCACGCTTTTTTGTACATTTTTTTGCTGTCAATGCACGACTACGTTTTGCGTTTTTTAGAGGGCGTGAACACAAGACAATGACTTTCTTTAAGCTCCTAATGGCCTCTATCGTACCTACCTACATGTAATAAGGAAAGCCTGATACTCAGGTTACATTAAACACCGCACCCAAACAGAAGAATGCAGCGTTTATTCGAAGATTGTAAGAAAAATTCAAGACAACTTCAGTAGCACTCGATGATCTACCATCCAGACAGTTATGATTCTATCTCAGTCAGCAAAAAAAGAGAGCTTTAAACAAGAGTCAATGTATGGACTGTCCGCCGGGACAAAAGAAAAGTGGCTTTTCTAGAGAGGTGGCCGTTAGTGGATGTTCGCCTGTACTTCCTATTTTCTCATTACTGGCTTACTATTCTCACCCTTTGCATGAACTTTTGTTTAACAGGTCCATCAGGCAAGTCAATCACATGGTTGTAGAGCTGTATTAAAGCCTCGGTCGTTGTTTGTTGAACGGTTTGTTTATGGACAGTTTGATCCATCTGCTGACAAAATGTGCGCGTGACCGGCAGTTCCTCCTGTTGGGTTAAAATGACATAAAAAAGGTTAACTACTCAGCTAGCCTCCTAAGCGGACGCTTCTCAGGGCCCAGTTACGCGTTCTTTGCGTGACAAAGCCTAAGAATGTCTGCATTGTAGGGTCAGCTTTAAGACTCTACATATCGTCCAAAAACAGTGCCCCATAAGGCCTTTTGGGAGGGGGGGCTCCTGGCCTTGTTGATACTAGTATAGGAAAGTTCCGTGGAGAAGGAAGAGGGAATGGCAGGAGTGTTCCAGTCAAGTGTAAATCCATGAAATGGGGATGGAAAAAGGGGACGTGTAAGGCAAAGCATGTAGAAAACGGAAACACAAACTGAAAGCCCTTGATGTTTTCTTTTTATTCGTTCTTTGTGTTTGCCTGGGGAAAGCTTGTTTATAGGTCGTATGAGCACAGGTACCCCAAGATCACAAGTGAGAATCGTCATTGCATAACAGAAATACTATAAGGGTTTGTATGAGGATTTTAGCAATTGTTATTTAGAGGTCAAATTATGTAAGCCTTGACTAGCTCTAGATTCCCAGCTACATTTAGGCATAAAAGGGTTAAATAATTGTAATACTTTCGGTCATTTAAAACCAACTCACGCTTCCCTTTTGAATAATTGCTTCTGCTGCATCAATGTCTTCTAAAAGTCCATTTGGAATCTGTAAAAAGCACATTTATCAGTCAATCAGGTGTTATAAACGCAACAATAATAACCCAGTGCACAAGAGGTAGAGAGAACTGGATGGCTCAACAACATCACTCAAACAAATACGGAGAAGTACAGATTTTGTCTGCAATAGAACTGAGAATAACATTTGAATAGAATAGGATTATATGTACAGTTAAACCTGTGATAAGAGGATCCATATTGTGTCAATGCCAATACTATTATACAGGATAGTCACTAAGATTTCAAGTTGCTAGGTATATGCAGTCAGTAGGTGGGGTTCAACTGAACAGAAAAAGGGAGTTCTTTTGGTCTCATTTTCCTTTTGTTTCCTATAAAAAATAGCCAGGGGTCATGCTCATAGTAACCAAAACACCTATTGAAGCAAGCAAATTTTAAAGCAAAATGGATTAGAATTTCATTGGTGTTTGTAAAATAAACAGACTATTACACATTTCATGGCAGCTTAGAGCTTTCTCTTTGAGTGTTGAAAAAATCATAAGAGCCTACAATATCTAGAAGCATGAATGTCACTCAATGTAACAAATTATGAGTACAAACCTTGAAGAGTTCTTCAGCATGGCAAATCATGGAAGTGACCAGCTTCTGCATGTCTGGTATGTCCTCAGGAAACTGGCTTAGACAAGTTATTTTCTGAAAAAAAAAAAGGGAAATAGATAAATAATATTGAACAGTTCCACATTCAAAGTATCCATCAAAGATCCGATCTTTTAAATCAGTATGCATTTCTGAACCAATCTGAGAATCACGTGCAAAATGATACCTGTAACTCCTCATCACAAGTTCTCACATGTGTACATGTAATAATGATTGTCTCTGTAAGTTTTAAAATGAACTACACCTTTTTAAAGTCCATTATGTTAGGTGAAAAAACCAAAGCAAGATTGTGGGCTGTCATTTTACTATTAGCATTCTTAGCAACCAGGTTGAGAAGCCCCAACAACTGCTGTAGGAGCATTCTGTTTTGAGGTGGTACCAAAAGAAACAGAAGCTGTAATGCTTCAATCAGCTTGGCCTCAGATTCATCATTGGGTATTTCTAAAAGCACGAATTAAGAGATAGCAGTTTTGCAATGTCAATAAAAGAGACTAATTTGATAACAACAACAATTCACGAGGCTTCTTTGGAAAGTGTAGGTAGTTAATGTTATGATAAATTTATTAAAAACAACCATAAGAATAATAGCTAGTTGCCAATACGGGGCTGGCCCCTGGAGACTCAGTTTTGCCTTCGGGTGACCAGGGAATAATTTTCTTTGGCCATTCAGCCATTCAACCTCATCCTTCAAAAATGTTCTTCAGCCATTAATTTGTATGGCAGTTCTGTTTCAAATGGCTTGGCTATCTGTTTCTCATCCATCACTTGCCATGCATTCAGCCATTCAAATGGATATTATAAGGAACGTTTTTGCGTGAGAGCTAGAGGCCCGGGGGGGGCACTCCCATACATTACCTATACGGGTATGTGCCGCCCAACGGGGTCGTGATTTTGAAGCTCCTGATTTAGAACGGGGTATCCATTTCAGGGGCGTTTTCTAGAACGGGGTATAAAAAATTGTGGATCACGGCTTTATCTTCTGCTTAAAATTGTTGCTGATTATGAAGAAGCATTTATTTGATGTATAAGTCGAACAAGGAAAGAAATATCTCTTAAAAAACAGGGCTTTCTCAATTTACAAACTTTCTAGAACGGAGTATAAGCAACTGGCCCATTTCTAGAACGGGGTATCAGTTTTAGGGCGAATTCTAGAACGGGGTATAAAAAATTGGCTCATTTCTATAACGGGGTATCAATTTTAGGGGAAATTTTTTTTAGAACGGGGTGCCAATTTAGAGTCCCGGGCGGCACATACCCACCCAAAAATTATCCAAGTGCCCCCCCCGGGGCTAGAGGTCACTTGTTAGTTTGGCACAAAACCAGCACAACATAATTTTTTTGAGGTGACCATCTTCACAAAGCTAATAAACGTTAAAAAATATTGTTTAAGGCAGACCAATGACACAACAACTTACAACAATTCTTACAACCAGTTAAAGTAACTCAAAGAAAAAAACAATATACAGTCTTTCATTTAAAAAGACTATTGGATGCATGAAACTTGCCTGTGATTTTGCGATAAGCATCCTGAGGTGCATGGGTTAGGAGTGGTTCTGGAAGATCACCAAGAAAGATCTTCAGAACAGATGCCACATCATGAGGAGTGAATCTGCCACTGTCAAAGTCAACATGCTCTTCTTTATCAAGCAAGGATTTTAACTCTTCCTCTCTTTTTTTACTGCCTGATACCCTGAACAGGCCTTCCTTGCTCACATCTGAAAAAAAAACATGACTGAATGCAGGGTTGTCACTAAGATTTCAAGTTGCCGGGTAAATACAACAAGTAGTCGGGGAATCAAACGGCAAGGAATTTCTTTAATTTGGTTCTATTTTTCTTCTATTTTAAAATAAAAGTAGTCGGGAACCACACTCATAGTAGCCGGGGGAAATCCCTGGCCCCCGGCTCTTAATGACAACCCTGCTGAATGGCTGTACATCCTACAAGCTTCTTACTATCCGTTACCAGTAATTAAAGTTTACTGACTACAGGTACACTATCAAAAATAATGGCTGTATTATGTATTTTCCAGTGAGGTACGGTATTTGTATTTGATAAATTTGATAAATTTGAACACCCGGTATGGTCAGCAACTTGCGTTGCTGAAATTATGTAACAACAATAATATTATTATTGATTCTGGTAGAATAAAAGCTGGAATTCTGCAAACTTCTTGTCTGAGACAAGAGATTTGGGAATCTAGTCTAGTCAAGTAGTGGGTTAAGATTATAAACTCCCAAATGCACAAATTTGCAGAGTTCTGCCTCCAGGAAATACTGTAATCAACATCCTTTGGGTCTGATATTTTCAATTTTCACCGGACAAGTCCTCTGGTTTGAAACCAGAACTATCAATATTTCAGAGGTAAAATTCATCTGATTTTGCTCCTCCAATTGTCTGTCTATAAAGCAACTTTTCTAGGCCAATTTGATCATCAGCTTATCCAAAGGCCAACTTAATTCATGCCAGATTTTCAGATAATGAATAACTCATCCATCAAGATAATCTGTACATCTTCTAGTGTCATTTGAATGAAGAGCATCTGCCAATTTTCCAGTTAATACCAAGTACAAAATATAACAAAAAAAAGATATGAAAGGGTGGCTAACTACCAGATTCTCCAACCAAATTTCCTTGTGTTTTCGTTTGAAACAAGAGGAGAATTTAACAGTACATATGTATATACATAAACATTCACTGAGGACTTTATTTTCTGCAACACTTAGTAAGCTGATGGCCAGTTCATGTATGTAATGGCAAGGATGGACCCAGCATGCAAAGAAAGTGGTGTCCGACAGCCCAGAGCTGGTGGATTTTACTATTGGGCTAGTGAATTCTGTTCTTAACTTGCCCAACTGTTGAATTATGATAGTTATTATAGCTAGTACATGTATACGCTAGCTACAGCTTGTCTAAATGGCAAGCTGTAAAACTGACTTTCTTTGCACCCTGTGTACCTGTCCACAATTAAAATAAATTGCATGATTATTTAATAAAAAAGACAGCTAAACTCACGTGACTTTAAGAAAACAATAAGTGTCGAAATTCTGTGTACAGCATCCACCGTTAGGGAATGGCCAAATATTTTATGGTTCCCTGTTGAAAAATCATTATGGTTACAAATAATTTATTACATTTTATGTTTAACAAACAGTAACTCCTTGAGTGTTGAAATTAGAATGCAGGTAATACTTGCTTGCAAAAGATAAGTTTCCATTAGACAAAATACTAAGAGCGCCTTCCTTGACAGTAACTAAATGTAACGCCATTTACATGGCACCCAGATGCATATTATTATAAGTGTGTTTTACTGCCTAGGAGATACATGTACATGACTTACCAGTGTTAAATTATTTTGATATTTGTTGCACGTTTTTTTACTAGGTACCGGTAGATGGTAGATCATAAACCTTTCACGTAAAGTATTTCAAATCTCTACTGGTACACCCTACATTTGAACTTTTTGGGACAGGTTTACATCAGGTATTCTCAGGGAGGGGATGTTGATATTGATCAGCGCATCACACAAGTCATCTTTGCATGGTTACAAAAACAAAACAAAAAACAAAGAATTTGAAGGTTCAAAACTTTGAAGATTGGAAGTTTTTTCACATTCTTTTTATTTTACTTTGTCTTGAAACGTTTAGCATGAAAATCTCAAACAAAGAAAACAAAAATAATATTAAAATGGTTTCTTAATTTTCACCCAAATAATATTTTGGAACAGTACCGAGTGGGGTATTAGTATGTCATGTTCATACTTGACATGTTTCCCAAGTACAGTGTGTGAACCACCCTTTTTTCAGGCACACACACCAGAATTTGGGCATGGTATTGGGCCTGAGTACAGATCAGAATTAGGGCACAGTACGAGACTCAAGTAAAGATCAGAACAAAGTCTTAAAACTCGGTTTTCTGTCCAGCCTGGTCCTTACTAGGAACGCAAGCTTAAGCATCAGCGTGAACATTAGGAGCTTATACACTAGCAAGGATGGCCTTGACACAAGCATAATCAGCATGAACACAAGAAAATCACTTTTTAGGCTCATGCTTACATGATGTTTACTCTTATGATTATACTTATGCTTTCGTCACTAGTGAGGATTGGGCTTAAGTTCTAAGGCACATGTACCTATATCACTGCTAATGCAAATTTTGTGTATCCATATCTTCCAGCTGAGTTCCAACGGACAAAACTACTTGAGAAAGTTTTCCCCATCATGGACCTTTCCTCAAAAGGCCATGAAGAAAACTTTTTGGGCTTCCAAAAATGCCCAGGGATCAGTCTTTCTTTTGAATACACAACAACATTTTTAAAACCATCACCGATTTGAAAAATAGTAGTATACAATTTACTCAACAGTTCCTAGCTACTAGCTGATAGTTTCATAGTGTCATTTTCAAAATTATTGAAACTGTGATCTTGAATGCAAACACGGCAAAAATAAAAAAAGTTACAGGATTTTCGAGAATAGGCCCTAGGTGTTAACATGGGATGCATCCATTTAGGATGATCCGGATAAGGATCACTTGGATCATAGCAAACTAAATGAACCGACAACGAATCTTTCCAAGGATGGATTTGTCAGTTACCTTGATGTGCTATGACCTGAGTGATCTCAGATCACTGATCCTGATCCAAATCATCCCAATGGAACGCACCACAAACTAATTCGAATAATCAGATCATGAAGTGTCAAAGGAACCGGTAAATCCACTCAGTGTAAAAACTCATCGGTTCATTTGATGCCACTTGATCCTGATCCGAATCATCCCAAAGAAACGCGGATCAAAGCTAGGTTATCAGCTCTGTCACCTTTTTTGAATGCAAAATCATTCTAAACTTGTGAAGGACATACCTATCCACCGAGGACCAACTTGAGTACAGTAAACAAACTACGTACCTTTTCTGCTCATTATTTTGTTTAGTTTTTCCGTTGATTTGGAAAAAAAGCTCCGGTGAGGTTTCACAGTCGTTACGATCTCCAGATTTCTAGTTACGTTTCCCGTATATTCAAGTTGTTGTAAGTCCTCAAGAATGTCCATATCCAAGAGTCGCGTGAGTCTACTCAAGCAGACTCTTGCGTGAGAGTCCTTGTAATCTTTTTTATGCATTCCTTTCTTCTGCAATAACTCACGGCAAAATGGTTGCCATCAAAATAAACGTTCTCAAACCGCGAGAAATTCAACCGTCCCGTCAATTACGTCACTCAACGCCACTGACCAATCAGCGATTAAACTATTTCAGCGGTTTTGATTTATAGTAGGCTCCTTGTACCACAGGACACCAATCTATGGAGTTTTACCAAAAAATTGATCCTCTTCGATCTTCTTCTATAAAATAATCTTCTTTCCGACTTTTGTACGAGGATTTTCTGGGCGAGGTTTTAAACCGCCTGACCTGCGGACAAAAGGGTGTGTATATAACTTGATTTCTGGCCGCTAAATCCTTCTGTCAAGACAGCTAACATGCCGGGTCTAAACACTCTGGTTAGGTTATATAATCGCCGCTTAAATAACATAACAGCTCTCTTACCATAAATAAATAATAAGACAAATAATATATGAGTGAATTTACAATTTATCGTTGGTGACCATTATCTAATTTCTCCTTCTACACGACATAAATTATTAACATGAAGGTCACGATGATCACCATACACCACGTTTCGTGATTTTATGTAAACTGCTTCGTTTTCTGCATTCTTATACGATCTCGAGCTCTTTTCTCTCAGTTAAGTTTGAACTACAGTGTATGCCTCTATGGTCCCGACTGGCTGACTGTGTTCTCTGACCCACTTTTCGCGTGGATTTATGAAGCTCGCGTGTAGCTTCGCTTCGAGGACGAAAAAACACAGCCGCAAACTCGTTTTAAAGAAAGAGGCATTTTTCAAGTCAAGTCTTGTTTCAAGTCTAGAAGTGGCCGTGGGTAAAAGAATGGTATTTCATCATATGACATAAAGTAGGTGGGCAGTTACAGCAATTCTCCCCTACGTGCAATTTGATACGTTCAAATTCCACCGATGTCGTGATTCTCCGCACTGGACTTCGATGACACTGAACAAGTCGGCAACAGAGACTGCGCGGGTGGATTTTTTATTCCATTGTCAGAGTTAAAGTCATGCCTTCCAGCCCTTTTGGCTTATTTGGCGTCGAAAGTGACGAGGAAAACGCGACTGAATTATATGAAAATGCTTCGAATTCATCTGAAAGCCCGCGATATCGACCATTACATTCCTCTCCCAACTCGACTTTCAGTGAGAGGTTAAAGATTGCAAGAAAACTTATTCCTTCGTATCCTGGCAGAGCAAAATTAGTGAAATCCAATCATGAGATGACCGGATTAAAGAGAAAAACAGATGAAGAAAACATCAGCGGTGGATTAGAAACCAGCAATTGTCCAACGGTTCGAGAGTTTCAGAACTTCTTCCGGGAACATGCCATCATCATGGAGTTGTAAGCGCTAACTTATCTTCATGTTGATATATTTTAGAAGCTTATAAAGAGATCTGTAGTGATGAAATTAGCGCTTTATAAGTGTACATTGTTATTATTAACGTACCTGTACATTCAGTTATCTCGCATTTTACTATATATCATTGAAATATGTTGGTCGCAATTGTTTTTTTGTTGTTGTTAACCTGTGTTTGATAATAATTACGGCAATGATATTTCACACTTCACGAAACCCAGCTAGATAGTAAACTTTTAATGACAAATTAAATACCCATTATGCAGCCCCACCATTGAAACTCACGTCCTCGAAAATTCCCAACAATTAAAAGGGACAGTTCCATGAAAATTCAGGAAGGGTTGGGGGAAGAGCTATGCAGGAAGCTTACCAGCTATATAGATACCTACAATCGGCAACAAAATAAGTTGAGACACTTCGCTCTAAACTGGGCTTTTTAACATTTTACTGACTTCAAAAGGGGGAAATATAGCTTTTCCTCCCCCATCCCCTCCATGCAATGTTGTGCCACTGTTTGAGCTACTTTAGAAAACAACAAACACCTCAACTTTGAATGGAGAGGACAAGGGAGGGGTGTGGATTCTTTTGTTCTCTGAAGTTACCCTATGCAATGTCTCAACAATTTTGTCACCAATTGTAGGCTATAATATGTTCACACTATGTTGGATAGCTCTTCTAAAGGCAGGAAAATCATACTGGATACATCATCTAAGGCTTCTGTTTACGCATAAGAACAGTGATTTTGGCGCATTTGCTAAAACAGATGGAAACCACACCACCACCAAACCCTCTCAACCAATGGTTCCAGCACATTGTTCAATGAGTGTGAACAACTTGTTCCAGCTCTGTGCTACTGCTGTTCATACTAAACTGGACACAAAAAACCATCTGCTATATTGTGAACATAGCCTTAATTGGAGTCATTTGTTCAAAGAACACTGCTGAGAGCATCTCTGTCCACCACAATGCAGCTCTGAAAGAGGGACTGCATATTAAGAATTCTTTAAATATTTAAGACAATTTAATTTTAAGACAAAGGTGGGGGTAGGGCCTTGGTCCTCAGGTCCTTACTTAATCTTCCCATGAAAAGCAACAATGGGGCGGGGGGAAGGGGGACGGTGCTTGGAACTGACGGAGGCACAACCAATGCATCAATCAATCATATATTGTCAGCCCATGCAACCCCCAATCCCCCCAAAAAATGGTCTGGTGTGACTGCACCAATTGTTATATGGCTGCATGGCTTTGTAAGCATTAAAGGTGAACCTTGAAAGTCATCTGTTTTCATTGCTTATGTGTCTGGCAAGATCAAGCCTAATCTTGCCCTGCACTCAGGACAGCCCACTTTGTTCCTGCAAAAAGACTTTTTTTGTTTGGTGAAGCTTTGTCTCCAACTCATTCTTTATAATTTGTGAGAGTTTTAAAATGGACGGAGATGAACGTGAGCCATGAATAGCTCTGCGCTTTTTCCTGGGTAATTTTACGTAGCATTTTAAATGTATACTTTTTATTATACACTATATATATGTGAACAAACTTATTATAGTCATGAAATAACCATTCGTAGGTTAAATGAATTTAAACTGTCTCCCATACTGTTTCACATTGCAGCAAGTATTTGAGTCAAAATCCTCTCAGTGGAGTCTATGCAGTACCCTCTCTAAACACATTACAAGGTCAGTTGAATATCGTGGATACTTACTTGCCTCTGAGCTGCGCGCTATTAGTTAAAAGAATGTCTCCTTGGCCTGGTGCAATGAGTCTTAATTAGAATCGAGTCTGTCGCAAATCATGAAAAAATCAGTTCAGTGGCTTACATTTTACTACACAGAGCTTATAATAATATATATTTCATTTCACACAAACCAAAGAGAATGAAATGAGATAAGGACCAAACAACTTGCTGCCTTTTCGTTGTTGTTTTAGGTCTAAGGAAAACAGTTAGGTGCTAGTATATATCATGACAGGTTAGCTTTATCAAAAGAAAATATAAGTTCTTGGAGATATGTGGTAGGGGGCATGGGTGGGAGGGGTGGAAGGGGTGGGAAGAGACTGGAGGGGTTATTTGGAGTACTTGATATAGCTTTAATCATCCAAGTTAGTAGTTTTTTAGCAAATCCTCAGAGATATGTGGGGGCAGGCCAGGGGGAGGGGGGGACATTGAATGTAGTGTCAGAATCTGAATCCATACTTTGATTCATTATTGTCAAATAAACAATTATATGAATTTGTGTGCCTGCATGAAGTTTTCGTAGCAGCAGGCATGAGGTTGCCTTACAACTGCCTATAACGTTTTGGTTATTAAGGGTTTAGCTCAGTGCTTTCTTTTTTTAGTGTGAACAGTCTGACTGCAACTTCCAACAGATTGTCATCAGACCTCCTTATATATATAATGACACCTCTCTAAACCGGCTGCAGGTAGCTTTACTCCCTGTCATTTTTCAGTCATTTTCTTTGACTTCCATTAAGATGGACTCCTTCTTTAAGCCCTGATGAGCAAGTCTCAATGGTGTTCATCTTAGAGAGAGATTATCACTGGAGCCACAGCTTGTTTTGTCAGTTACTGTATTACTATATTATTAAATCTAATAGCTTGATCAATTTTATCCTTAGTCTGGCATGGGATAATATTCATCAGAGGAGGACCTTACAGAAATGGAATCTTCAGGTTTATAGTTATTCTACAGGATGAGTAAGTAAAAAACAATGGATAAAAAACTTGACATTGTGATATTTTTTCTTTAATATATTTTTTTATCTATCTCAGTTCTTAATTTTTAGCTATACATAAAAAGAGTGTTGTGTTTTTACACCAGTAATTATTAGAGACAGCAATAGACCAATTGTGATATATTAGAATTCACACTTGGCTCCAATAAGGCTTGGGGGAATAAAACAAAAGAAATCATCTTGTCAGGCTCAGCAATGAAAAATACATCTCTTTTTTTATTATTCCCCAAGCTACGGAGCCAAGTACAAATTTTATCGAAAATTGGTCTTAAACAACTTGCTACTTGTTATTTAACAGATTCCTGCTGTTAAATAACCTGCTACTTGAAACTACATATTTTAAACAAAAACTTAATATTGAAAAAGAATTAGTAGAAAAGCTCAAATATAATGCAAAGTTGTGTTACTAGCATCTTTTCTACTAATAGAGCCAGTCTTCATCAGAAACTAATTTATGCAGTTAATTTCAAGTGTATTTGAAAAAAAAAATGCAGCCCCAACTGTTATGTTTGATTTTCAGTTTCCCTGATAGCAGACCTCTTCTCAAATTTACTACACCAGTGTTTCATCCTCAAGTTCATCCTGTCAATTGGTAAGTGAGGAAGCAGTGGCTGATGACTTGAGGTGGTTTCAGAAAGAGGAAGTGGCAAGTTGTTCCACTGTTGTGTAATTTATACCTGCATATGTATGTAAAATGTTTGTGCATATATAAAGTAGAGGCAATGAATGAAAGGCTGCTCATAAACCTGACAGTTGAGCAGGTTCAACTGACTGTTATGTTTATGTACATAACCCTCCATACATTGCCTCTATTTTATTTACGTGTGTAAAATCTATGTGCGCACTGCGTAAAAACTATGAGACAGTTGATCCACCTTTAGTCCCATTCCCCTTTTACCAGTTCATAGTCAACAAAACTAAAAAAGAGATATCATATATTTATTGATTACAGTCAACTCTGGGATTTAACCTGTTCACACCTGAAGAGGATTTTAATAGGAATGATGAATTTAAAGATCCTCACAACTCTTCAAAAATTTCATCAGGTTCAAGTTCCCTGACAGTTAAAGGAGGTGGCCTAATTGAAGTAAGCATCAAGCTGTTGAATCGATAAAGTAGATTCAGAGCAAGTTAAATAACGTGAGCTTTCCAAATTTTCACTCATTTTTTTGTACCTTTTTCAGGGTTCTGAACCTGGATGTTTCTTTTCCCCAATGGGAAAAAGGAAAAAACAATGTATGGTGAGTGGCAAAACTGTATAACGGAATCTTTGGTACACATTTCAGTACAAAAAATCATACTTTGGTCAATTAAAACACAAACGTTTAACTTGATAATAGGTCATTTACATAATGGTGCCATTTTAGTACACACTTTTTAAAATATATATACCAGTATTCATTTCACTTTTCTTTATTTTTTAATAATTAAAAATTCCCTTGAGTAAATGGCCTGTTCAGTTCCTTATATTCTACCAAATGAAGGATAATTCAATCCCCACCATACTGCTAAAGGAAGGATAATTCAGTCCCCACTATAAATACTGCTAAAGGTAGAATAAATTCAGTCCCAACTATACTACTTAGAGAAGGATAATTCAGTCCCCACTATATATACTGCTTAAGGGAGAATAAATTCAGTCCCAACTATACTACTTAGAGAAGGATAATTCAGTCCCCACTATACTACTAAGGAAAGGATAATTCAGTCCCTACTATACTACTAAGGATAGGATAATTCAGTCTGTACCATACTACTAAGGAAAGGATAATTCAGTTCTTACTACACTGCTAAAAAGGAAGGATAATTCAGTCCCTACTACACTGCTAAAGGAAGGATAATTCAGTCCCTACTGTACTACTCAGGGAAGAATAATTTAGTCCTTACTATACTACTTGGCGAGGCATAATTCAGTCCCTGCTATAATGCTAAATAAGGAAGGATAATTTAGTCCCTACTAAACTGCTAAGGGAAGCATATTTGTAGTCCTTAGTGTACTGCTGAGGGAGGTATAATTCATTCCTTACTATACTACTAAGGGAAGAATAATTTAGTCCTTACTATACTGGTAAGGGAAGCATAATGTAGTCCTTACTATACTGCTGAGGGAGGAAAAATTTAGCCCTTACTATACTACTAAGGGAAGAATAATTTAGTCCTTACTATACTGCTAAGGAAAGTACAATTTAGTCCTTACTATACTGCTAAGGAAAGGACAATTTAGTCCTTGCTATACTTCTAAATTGCTCTTTCCTTAGTAGTATAGTAAGGACTAAATTATTCTTCCATTAGTAAGTATAGTAAGGACTAAATTATCCTTTTTTCTATTCTTCCCTTAGTCCTTAAAACTGCTAAGGGAAGGATAATTTAGTCGTTGGAAGGATAATTCAGACCCCACTAAACTGCTTAAGGAAGGATAATTCACTTTCCTCTTTAGTGCTTACTATACTGCTTGAGGAAGGATCATTCCTACTTAACTGTACTGAGAAGGGAAGGATAATTCTCACCAGGCACATTCCAAGGAAAGATGATTTAGAGCCTACAGCTAAAGGAGGAATATTTTAGTCCCCACTATACGGTTAAAGAAGAGATCTCCTGAGGTAGGCAGCTGCTTGAAACAGATTTTCTTTTTCAGGCAAGTCCTTAAATTTTTGAAGAGTTGCTTTTATAACGTGGACACATGGGGAGGAACAAATGAAGCTGCCATCGATACGTAAGTGTTTCTAATCTCCTGTTAGGAATGGAGCAGAATGAAGTCTATGTGAGTGATATTTCTCATCTAACGCCTGAAGACTTCAGAGCGACTAGACACCTCATAAACAGACGTATGGTATCAGGAATAGGTCATAGAGGATCACACCACTCGTGGCTGAAAGTGTTATCTTATTAAAGCTCTACAAGAATAATTCTAGATCTAGATAATTTTGCCAGGGCCGTTTAATTCTAACCTTGAACGTTTAAGGTAGCTTATGTTATGGAAGGTCGTTGGAGCGCCCTGTAATGTGCACTTTAGATACAGTGTATACATTTATTCACGCTTTCGGCCGATTCGGTGGACTAGATACTTGCCTGTCACTCTGCTGATACTTGACCGACATATGTAACACACATTCTTAATTAAGCGAGGATCTTGGTGATAAGAAGAAAAATATGGCGAATGTTTTTAAATCATTGTGTTTAGAATTCACAGCGATATCGAGAAATTCAAAGATGAAGCAGAACTATGTGCGGCTGATTCAGTCAGATTATTTGATGATGAACTTAGTCAAGGCAGAAGCTCAGGTATGTTGGTAGTTTAAAATATTTCTTAGTTAAGCTCTGCAACAATCATTTACTTTCCTCCACAAAAAATAGACCGCTTCATTTTTACAGTCCATACTGGAGACCTGGCCCCAGTTCTTCAAAAGGTGGATAACGCCATCCGCTGGATAAATCTCTATCCAGTGTTGTGGATAGCGCACTTGGTTTTCGTAATATGTATTCGCTAGACAGTGAGTTGTAAGATGGATGGCGCTATCCAGCGTTTGAGCAATCCAGCCCTGCAGTACCAATCTAACTATGCTGTCACAAAACCCTGCGGTGTAACCTTTTAAATAAGCCTCTTAGCCAGTGCTATCAAATGACACTATTTCACAAAATGTAATTTGAAATTTCCCTGGAATTCTCTCATTGGCCTTATTTGGAAGTACAAGAACTTATTTGCAGAAACCTACCTTACTAGACAGAGAGGAGCGGAGACGAAAGCTCTCTTGTTCGTATCGCACGGGCGACCCTAAATGAAGGCTTAGTTTTTTGTTGGTTAGATCCCTTCTCGTACTCTTGAGTTTGTCCAGCTAGCAATGCGATGTACAATGCTAGAAGTGCCCTCTTAAAGTCTCGTAATTTTATCATTCTGAATGAGTAAAATTTATTACATTATTTTTACCATGTTCAACAGATGACGACGGAAATGTCCTCAGCCAGAAGAATCTTAGCGACGTAGCATTTAGAGAAGGGAAGAGAATGATGTTAACTGGGGTAAGAATCAGAATTCAGTCGCCACTATACTGCTAAAGAAAGGATATTTCAGCCCCTACTATACTGCTAAAGGAAGGATAATTTAGTCCCTACTATACTGCTAAAGGAAGGATATTTCAGTCCCTACTATACTGCTAAAGAAAGGATAATTCAGAAAGAGCACATTGAGGTTAGGAAAAATCTCAAGTTTGGTGTCAATCCGGCCTATATTGAAGGGAAAAAATGAAATTATAAGAGATATATGGTTACTGGACACACCGTCCGGACGTCTAGATATTTCTTGTTAAATTTTGGAGTTTTTGAATGGCTGTATCTCGTTCAATATAGGCCCAATAAACACCAAACTTGAAAACGTTGCTAACCTCAGTATGCTCTTTCTGTCTCTTCTCTCTCTTCCGGGTCTCGTGTGTTTATCTTAGAATAAATGGACTCTACCCAGCCCCTCTCAGTTTGAAATTAGGCAATACATGTCTCCCCTAAAATTTATATGGGTCCCTCTTAATACAGGTTTGCTTGTTCAACGTCCAACACTTCGATACCAGTAGATACCTAAACTAAAACATTACTGCCTGGTTCTAAGTATGCATATTCATTCAGTGTTTTTGAAGGAGCCCGTGTTCCATCTGTGTTATTGATATTGTTTGGTGTATTATATTACTTTACCAGGAATTACCTTCATGGATGCCGTAAACTTAAGGTTGGGACACACCAAGGGTCATGTTTCAGGGACAAGTCTCTCAGTGCGCAACACAAATTTAGGGGCAAAATTGTTCCCGCGACATGTGGCATTAGATTCAACTTCAGAAGGTCAAGAAGCATGTCGAGGAGACAAAATGTTCCAAGGAACGCATACACCTTCGTGTTTTCTCCCCGTTGTACATGTCCCTGCAGTGGAATCGGAATAGTTGAGCCAGCCAGAGACAACGACCAGAATTCTTTGTGATCATGCATTGGGAAGGAAGACAAGCTAAATCATTTCCCGCGACATGTTCGTATTTGTGAGACATTGTGACTTTGGCCCTGGCCTGCTACATTTGTCTGTTACACATCCCTATTAGACGCCAGTTCGTTTTACTGCACGTGATTGTGTGCCTATTACATATGTCTGCTAGACATTCCTGTTTGTACTACAGATTTTATCCTAGTTGCACGTAGCTGCAGCAACTCCTTGCAGCCTGTATCCTCAGGTCTCCCTACCTTTGCCCTGAAATTTACGCCTAAATTATAAACACCGAAAAAATCGACGGGCCAGGCGCTCGTGACTTACAGTATTTAATATATCATTCAAATTTAAGCTACATAGAGATAATATATATATTTTTTATTTTAAGAGCTACTGTAAATTGTGTATTTTAATAAAATAGCTATTGTCTCATGAACCTAAACAACTGTTCACATTATATTACGGGATGAGTATTTATTTAGCATACTAAAACAGAAGTAGGTGCTTATAGATAACTGTCCAAGAGCATCTGCTATTACTATTCGACTTCCAAAAATGCTAACTATGGACCGATGTTTTGAAAATAAATCAGTTTTGTAACTGAGTGGGTCCTAGGCGAAATGTTATGACCCAGATACTGGTGACCTTAGTTCCCAGATTTCGAGAAGCAACTCTTCTCAAGGACTTATTTTAATCCATACGCTCTTTCTACTCCTCAATTTAAATGCTTTCTCATTCATCTCCCACATTAATCAGATTCCCTTGCACGAAGAGGCCCTAAATAAAGCTGCTATCTATACTTGCAAATAATCCCTACGCTTCTTTGGCCAGCTCTACTCCCACCCGTATGGAGATTTACAGTGCGACTAATTGAACCGGGGCACTTGGAAGAAGATTCTCCAATCACAACGATTTCTGAAAACAAACGATTCTCAACTTTTTAGGCAAGCGGACCTTTCTTGAATATTCATGCATTTGAGGGCTGTTTCCTGAAAGGTCAGGATAGTTCAAACGGTTTTAAAGATTTCAACGGTTACCTAGTTAAACCTTGAATTTTATTGGTCGGTAATGGTAATACTGAATAAACTTGTTGTTGTTTTTGCCCCGTTTGCCAAAAAACTTGAGAATCTTATGTTTTCAGATATCGTTGGGATTAGACAATCTTCTTCCAAGTGCCCCGGTTTGAGTAGTCGCACCGTAATACATTCGTGAACACCATGGTTGTCTTTACCACTGTGGCCATCATGGGCACTGTTGGAATCGTGGTTCTCATGCGCACCATGGGACCATTTTCATTGCGGGGACTGTGATCATCTTGGCCACCTTGGAAATCATGGACTCTAACGGCACCATAGTCATCGTGGGCACCCTGGGCGTTGTGATGGTTGTTGCACGGTGGTCACACTGGGTATTTCTGTCATCTTGGGCATCAGGGGAGCCATGTTGATTATAGGAATGATGGGCATCATATGGTCATCGTGAGCACTGATCTTCTGTGGCAGTCACTGGCACCATACCATTGCTGCCACAGAGGGTGCTGTGGTCATCATGATCATTGTGGTAGCCTGAGTATCAGGCCTTCCTAAGGGGCTAGGGGAGAGGAGATTTGAGATGGCGGAGGGGGGAGGGGGAGAAGAGAAAGGAAGGCCTGACACAAAACCATTCAGCAAATCGTGTGACACATCCAAAATCTGGATGTGGCAGTGATTGGATAACACACAATACCCCCTGACGTCACCGACCGCAAGAGCGATCGGCAAGAAGCCATTGACATTTTTCATAGAAACTATGTCCGAGGGCGCGATCCATTCAACCAAAATTCAGACCGGTCCGACCGGGAAAAGAGGACCACCTCAAAAGGTGGATCTGTTTTTTCGAAACTTTTCCGATTGGACCGAACCGATCCATTGAGTTTTGGACCGAAATTTCCGGAAATTTTGGTTGAATGGATCGCGCCCCGAGTATTGGGTTCACAAGACGGGGACAAGGACGACGATATCAGTGTTTCAGATATCTAAGTTCTGATTTACAACATCCTGCCGTTAAAAGGGTATTGTTACTGTAAATGGAAATAGAGCGAGGTAGCCATGTATTGAGATAGCCGACAGCACGGTCCATTGCTTTTAAAAAGCTTGACTTTGCTCGTGGCGGTTACGATAGCCTACGTGATTGGAATTCGTTCGCTTCCTCTTCCAAAATTTTCTCACTTTTGAAATGTCTTAAGCTCAAGCGGGCGCCATCATATTTCGCCAACGGGATTGACCTTTGCTAAGGCTCTCACTTTTTTTAAACTTGTAACAGCTTTCACGGGCTTTCTGTGAAGTGGTGGAATTTGCTGCTGCTTGATAATTTCTAGGCATAGGTGTTTCACCATCGCACCTTCCTATTTATTCTTGCAGCTCCTTTCAACCACCCGAGGATACGAGGGATAACATCAGCTTTTTAGCTGCCAGACAAGCGCCTGATGTAACTCTGTAAACAAAAGCAATTTACAATTTCCCGGGGCAAGTTTATTTACAAACAGAGCGTTGGCGATATTATACTAGCACAATTCTTAAAACATGTTACAAGTATTCGCAAACTCCTCATTGGAGGTTTAAAAAAAAGCGAAATCGTAGCAACACAAACACCGGACCTCGGCCAAACCGTAAAGTGAGATTTATTTTAGGCGAGCTTTTTGACACGCGAAGCTGACAACCCAATGACCGGAAGTGATTTTGAGTGGATGGTATCGAATCATGCTGTGTCGGGGTGGAAGGCTCCAGTAAAAGCATCTGTGTCAGGCGTTTCTCTCCTTCAGCTCCCTTCTTTTTTGGCTTCCATCTTTCCCCTTTTCCCTAGAAACGCCGGATACTCAGGCTATCATTGTGGTCACTGTGGGTTTCGTGAGCATTATGGGCACACCAGCCGACCATTGTGGACACTGTGGTCATCGAGGTCGCTTGGTGGTCTCCCCCACTTTTTTGCGAGCGGCATGGGCTCATGGTGATTGTGGTAACTGTGGTCACCGTAGTCATTGTATGTGTTGTGCTTGGTTGAAGTCTTATTTTTTGGGTATGATAATATGTGATAATGAGTTTGTAACAAAGGAGAATAGGATTTTAAACCAAGGGTTCTATGCACACTGTGGGCATTTTGGTCATAGAGGACACTTTGGGCACTATCGTCATCGTGGGCACCCTAGGTATTGTTATAACTGTCAGTACGATGGTCATTTTGGGCACCGTGGGCACTAGTCAACATGATCATTGTGGATATTGTCATGACCATTATTGGCACTGTGAGCACGGTAGTCTTTGTGGGCACTGTAATCATTGAGGGTACCGAGGTCATATGGGCACCATGGCAACTATAAAACGATAGTCATCTTAGACACCGTGGGTTCTGCAGACATTGCTGGCACAGTATTGTTAACATCATGGTTATGTCAAGAAATGCACCCAATGGCGAAAATGGCGTATTTGGCAACAATGGCAGAAATGGCGATTAATCACCAAATTGTAAACAAAAATTCAAATCACATGGCAAAGGGGCCCTTTTGAAAGTGGCGATTTTGGCGAAAATGGCGTATTTGGCGAAAATTGCAGAAATGGCGATTAACCGCCAAAATCGCCAAATTGTAAACAAAAATTCAAATGACATGGCAAAGGGTCCCTTTTGAAAGTGGCGATTTCGGCGAAAATGGCGTATTTGGCAAAAATGGCAGAAATGGCGATTAATCGCCAACGCCACTCTTCAAGAGGCTACTTTGGCCATCTAATTTGAATCGCCGGCCCTCTGGCGATTTTTCGCCATTTTGCCATTATTGCCAAAATCGCCAATTTCGCCAAAATTGCCACTCTCCAAGGGGCCACTTTTGGCATTCAATTTGAATCGCCAGCCTTCTGTCAATTTTCCGCCATTGCACGCATTTCTGGACATAAGTGTTTCAGCCCGCTTGAACCTCAGTCCCCAGAAAATTCTTAAATAACAATGACCAAGACCAGGTTTTATGAGCCCGCGAGACTGAGCACCCCACCCAAACTCTTGTTTTCATTAAAACCGCTGGACGCCGACCTGGTTGAGGTCATTGTTATCTAAGGTCTTCCCAGCCTCCAGCCTTGGGTGTCTTGATGCGCCCGCGGTCTTCTCCACCGGGAGTACCGCGGGCGCATCGAGACACTCGAAGCTGGAGACTGAGCCTAGCTCGACCCATGCACGAATAGATCTTGTGGGAATTGGGTTAAATCTACTAAAAGCTATTCAATGCATCGCTATTTCATTTTATTTCAAACACAAGATAAAAATTGCATCTTTATAAGTCAATAGTACGAAGAATTTAGGTAATAACTTAGAATCTTTATAAATCAGAACTCCGAATTGGCCGAATATAATACACTGGTTCGGTGTTCTCTTAGGGTTGGTCATATAGTTATCCTCTTCATCTCGTCTTTCCTTAGATTGTATTCAGGGGCTTATGAACTAAAGAGCTTTTGTGGTTCCGTTAAAGGTCGCCCCGATCACCAAATGTCCGTTTTCATTTCGTTTGCTTTGTTCATAAGGACTCCATAACAACTCTTGCAAACTAGCACGGTCTCTTCATAAGCTGCAGGAGCTGTTAATAAACAAGAGAAAAGAAAAAGTGACATTTAATACGACCACAAAGCTGCAAAGGTAGCTGCTTTGCTGAGAGAATCCTGTATAGCCAAGTAACAGAAGTAAATGGGGAAAAAAACTTGCAGCTTGTTTTGCAACATTGCCGCAGAACGAGATAAAAAGCGATTTTACGCGTTTTACCACCCACGAATCAAACCTGTCTTGAAACAAATCAGGTTGTTGCTGGTTTTGAAAAGTAGCGAGTGGATCTGCAGCAACCTAATTTGTTGCGAGACAGGTTTGAATGTGGGGGGTAAAACGTGCAACTAGCCATTTAACTCGTTTTGCGGCAATATTGGAAAACAAGCTGCACGTTTTTGTTGCTTGTTGTACCGCAGCTTAAGGAAATGGTTCAGCCAGAACGTAATGAGGGGTGGGATCCAGGAAGCCATCCTGAGTTAAGTACTGTCGCATAGCAGATAAATATTATATTAGACTTTGACTTTTGTGCACATACATCAGAACACAGGCAGCATGAAGAAAAATGTCGGAATCAAAGGCTAAATCCCCCACACGCATGAGGAGGAAAGGGAAGAATCCTTTACCTACAATGGAGGACAAAATCCTTAGGACAATTAACACGATCTGGCTTAATTTTTCCCCCTTTCCCCCTCTCCCCTAAGCAATGTTGTAGTTTGTGCACCCCTGTAGACTTTACCCTGTCCTAAAAGTGTTTCTTCATCCCAACATTGTTTGGAGGGGGGAGGGGAGGGCCAGTCGCGGTATCCAAGTGATTAGAGAAGTGTACATTTTGCTACATCTGAACATTTGATAAGTTAAGGATGTGGAAGGAAGGTTTTCCATAACCGTTCCAAGGATTTTTGTCCTCCATTGTAGCACAGAAAATAACGTCACTCATGTGGATGTGGAGCAGTAGTACATAAATATTTTTATCAGTGTTTTGCACATAAAATAAGAATGTTTATATACTGAACCTGTAGCGCCAAACACAGCTCTTTTCACACGTTTTGAGCAGCAACGAGAACAAAAGCTGTCTCCACAATGCCGGCAGTATTGCTTTGAATGGAAAAAATTATAGAATCAATGACAAAAAAAAACAACAACAAAAACCAATAATCGCAACATTCATTTAACCATAGCCCGATGTAGTTGAAAGGTTGAGACAGCTGCTATTTTTCCCACAGAGTAATTTTTAGGGAGTTATTATAACTTAACTTTAGGTACAGGATAACCCCTTTCATGGGGTTACTTTAACTGGTAATTTAACTCCAAATTTGGGTCATTTTTTCCTGAAAAAGAGTTCTTTTAACTCCCAGTCTGGAGTTAAAATGACTCCAAAAATGGGTGAGGTGACATTAAAAAAGTGGTAAGGCTGACTCGTTCCCAGTCGTCTCTCTCTATCTCTCCCTGGAGGCGCGCGGGGTGTGATGGGAAGGAGGAAAGCAAGGGAAAGACGGGTTGAAACGTCAACAGCACAAGTCTTCATGTCAACACACGCTAGTATCTAAATTGTTACTCACTCTCTTTTTAAGTAATGAAGAAAATGAAACATCGCAAGAGGCACAGTTTCCTGAAAAAAAAAACGACATAATACGTTGCTGCACCTCGTCTATCGGTCTATCCCTTAATTAACTTAGCCGCACGGTTCTGTCGACCCAAGCCTCGACACTGTTTCATTATGTGTACTCACTGGAATGAAATTCAGGAAAGGTCCATTACGGCATAGACCAGAGCATATACTTCATCGACTACTCAGACTTGGTTACCAATGATCGCATCAACCATCTACAAACTACATGGAGCCTGAATAACTGGCGGGATTGTTATGCGCGCACGGTGTACTTCCTTGGCGGTGGAGCCGTAAGGGAAAATCCCACCTGCCACTTGCCTGCCATATTT